CCCCAAAGCCCGCCAGGAGTTAGACCCCCGGAACTTTTTTTCTCTCAAAAGAAAACAGTATAATTTTTGCCCTTTTTCACTTCAAAAAATGGAAAGGGAAACACTATCAGCTTGCGGGTATTGGCACCGGGGGGGACGACAAATTTATATTTTGTAGGGTACAAAATTTACAACAGTCCGCCCTTGCATCCTATTACGCCTTTACAATTTTATTTGGTCACAAGGACTCTTCCACAGCTTGGAAATCTTTTCCCCCTTGTTCTCCCTTTCCCCCAAAAACCGGGACTACGGGGGCATGAGCCCCCACTATCGGCCCCTTTCTCTTCCAAATGCAGTTTGGGAAAGTGGGTGGGCGCTGTTAAAAAAGACTTTAGTGTGGTATTTAAGAAGGGCAACAGTCTTCCAAAAACGTCCAAAATGGGGTTTCGTAAGGGAAGTTCTAAACCCAGAAACCCCCTTTTTAAAAGGGTTTTGGGTTCGTATGTTCGTAATGCCCTTTACGAATAAACCCCTCAGTTATTGCCCTATTTTTTTACCTTTAGAAATGTTTTAAACTTTTGGAAATTTGGGCTCCTGTGTTATTTTAAAAAAATTTTAAGAGCATGTTTTTTCATCACTTAATATTATAGGCGAAAAATCCCCCTTTATAGCTAAAAAAAAGACTTTCGGCTTTTATTTTTATCTGGGGAATTTTTGAAAAAACCATGGTTTTTATCACTATTTTTTGTTTTACAGTTATCGTTTTTTATCCTTTTTGGGAAAAAACACAATTTTTTTTTCTATTATGGTTAGGTAGGATTTCTTGTGTAAATTGGGGTTTAAGTCCGGAACCATCCCGGGGAAAATTGGTTTAAATTTTTATGTCCGGGGGTGGGTGACGTGGCTCAGCTGATCCAAAAAGACAAAAAACGTCAACCCTGGGAATATCAACTGCTCCCGCTTAAAACAACCCTGAAAAACTGGGTCGTTTATTTTGGCTCTTTCGGTGTACAGTTTAATGGTTTTTAGAAATTGGGTATAGAGCGACTCAAATTGGGGGCCTTTATTTTCTTTTTAAAAACTCGGGGTTTGGGGTATTTTTAAAATTTTTTGGGCAGTTCATTCCATAGAAAAAACTAACGGCCAGATTTTAAAGGTCTTTTTAAATCTTGTACCTTTTGTTTTTTGGGTTTTCAGTCTTGTTAAGAAAGAGGGTGAAAAAAGTAATGAGGACTTTGATAAAAGGAAAAATAACTAAAACTTCCTTATTAATTTTGAAAATTTCCTGTTTTGGGTTTTAAATGTTATGGTAATTTTTTTTTTTTACTAAATATTAAGTTAAAATTTAAAAAAAAGGGGAAAATAAAAGTTTTTGAATTTTAAATAGTTTTTTTTTAATTTTTAATATTTTTCTAGGGGTTTCCCGTTAAATTTTTTTTCCCCTAGACTCTAAAAGACCTTTAAAAAACTCTGATCCAAAAAATCTTGGTTTTCTTTAAAAAATAAAAAGGTAAAAGGCCCCCCTTTTTGAAGTTCTTTTTAAAAAAAAAAATTTTTAAATTTTTAAAAGAAGGCATATGCACAACTTTGGGGTTTTAATATTTTTTGCCCCAACCCCTCCTTTGGCATTTGAGGCAATTTTACCATCCTTCCTTTTAAAAACTTTTTTAAATTCAGGCCCTTTCCGTGTTCGGGGTTTTTAATGTGCTCTCCCGGACTTTTTCCAAGGTGAAGGTGCCCCCCGGGGGTTGGGTTTTGAGCACCAAACTTTTTGCTATTAAAAAGATTTGGGGGCCCCAGTCTTCCATCACTTACTTGGTCATCCCCTTGTTGATGGGGCCCTTTTCTATTTTCCCCGTGGGAGGGCTGACTGCACCTCATTACGGTTTTTTTCTCCCATTTCGGGGACAGGGTTTCCCCCAAATTTGGGGGGCCCCAAAATGGGGTTTTTTTAAATTTTTTCCCGCACTAAAACCCCCCAAAAATTTCTTTACTTGAGCCCCTGTCAAAACCCCCATCATCCTTTTACCTCTATGGCTCCCCTTCCCTGAACCCTGTACAGTCAAGGGTTTTGGGGCCCCTGACCGTAGGTTATCCTGGAAACCCCCCATTACCCCTGAAGGCCAAAATTTGACAGGCCCGGGGTGAACCCTTTTTAAATCCCTTTTCATCTTTTAAAGGGGAAACTGATGTCGAACCCCCCTTCACCCCACTTCCCCCCTCATTTTTATCGAAATTGATTATGGTGAACCCGATCTATTCAGCGGCATGTCCGGCTACTCCTCTTAGGTTTAACCCTTTAAACACCAAGGGTTTTCGTGTATGCCTTTGGGCTTTTTTGCCCCTTTCCCCCCCTTTTAGAGCCTCTGTGCAGAAAAACAACGGTTTTCCAAACCTTAACCCATCGCCGTGGAATTTCCCATTGCCTTTTCCCCTACTTTTTCCGCTCCAAAACTTCCGCAAAACCTTCCAATTTTTTAGAATGGGGGCCCCTGTTTTTAGTAAAAACATTCTTTATTTGTTCGCCGCCCTGTTTTTAAATCCCGTCCCTTACTCTCTTGCCCTTCCCTTTTGCTTTTGTCCCTTTTCTTCAAATTAACCCCCTTTCATTTCATGTTGCATCCCACTTTTTTTCCCCAAACCCCCCGGGGAAGTTCCAGTGCCTCGAGTCCTTGTTCTTTCTCTCCTCAGTTGCTTTGAAAAAGCCCCAAATGTCTAACGGTTTTTGCTTTTTCCCCCTCCCCTTTTTTTTTGACCCCCTTCCCCCTAAATTTTTTAAAGCCATTGGGTTTTTTGTACCCCCAGATGGGGCCGGGGTAAGGCCTTTTTTGAAAAAAGGGGAAAGGTTTCACAAAGGGGTTTTTTCCCCGGGCAAAAACGTCGGTTAAAAGAGGGCTTTTTTTTTACTATTTTTTTGGGGGGTTGGGATTTTTTTAAAATGCTGGGGTTTTTTATGCCCCAAACCCTTGCAAAAAACACCTTTATTTCCCTATTGCATCTTGCCCGTGGGCATAAATTTTTGGTTTGTTGTCCTTTCCCCCATGCTTTTGGGTTTCAGGGGTTTGTCCCCCAACCCTTTCCTCCCGGAATCAAAAAATTTCCAAAACCCCCCTTTAAAATAAAAACCCCGGCCCGGCATACAGGGGGAAATTTTTAAAAAACCAAAAAAACCCCGGGGTCACCCGGAAAAAATAACCCCCCAACCCCCGTTTCCCAAAATAAAACCCCCAATTTTTAAAATAAAAAAATTTTTTTGCAACCTTTACACGGGGAAAAAGGGTTTCCCCCTACCCCGGGCCCTTTAACCCCCATTAAACCTTTAAGGTTTTGGCCTTTTCTTTCCTTTTAGTCCCCCCTTTCCCTCTTCCTTCCTCCGTTTTTCCAAAAAATAAAACCCTTTTCCCCCTTGGGGGAAAAAATTTTAAAATATAAAACAGTGCCTTTTGGGGCCCCCACTTTATCAAAGAAAAATTTAATCTTTTTGTTTAAATTATTTTTTATTTTCCGTTGGATGGAATTTTTTTTTGGGCCCCTTCAAAATTGACGTACAAAACTGACAACCCAACCCCTGAACCCAAAAAACCTTTCTATTCAATCCTCCCGGCACCCTCACCCCCGGGATATCCCTTGGGGTTTTTTTAACCCTTTTTGGGAATTTCCCCCCTTCCTTTTTCCCACCAAAAAAACCCCCTTTCCTTCCACCCTGGGCCCCGGTTTTGGCTTGGGCTTTTTGCCCCCCCTTTTTTATTAAAAAAAAAAATATAGGGTTTTGGCCCAAAATTTTTTACCTTTTATTGGGGTTTTGTGTTTTCCCCTAAAGGGAATTTCACCTTGGCAAACCCCCAATATTTTCCCCGGAAAAATTGGGGTTTGAATTTTGGGGGTTTTGGGGTTGTTGTTAAATTTTTTTAAAGTGATTATTATCCCCCCTTCGTTTGGGCGGGGAAATTTTTTGGTAAAAAAAAAATTTTAATTTGGGTTTAATCCCTTTTCCCCCCCCCGGTTTGTTTTTATTTTCCTTTAAGGCCCCCCTTTTCAAAACATGGGTTTTCAATTGGCTTAAATTTTATGGGCATTAAATTTTACAAGGCTTTTAGAAAATGGGGGGTTTTTAAAACAGGATTCCCCCTTTTTTTTTCTGCCCCAATACCCTGGGGGTTTCCCATCCAGGGGGTGATAGGGTGTTAAAAGGTTTTTTTGAATTTAAAAATAAAATTAAATAAAGGGAAAATTTTTTTTTTGGGTTTTTTTGGGTTTTTAAAATAATACAATTTGATTTCCTAAAATTTTTTTGGGGAAAAAGGTTTTTGGCCCAAATTTTTTATTTTCTTAGGGGGTTTTTAAAATTCCCCAATAAAAGGGGGGTTTATTTTCTTTTCCCCTCCCGTTTTTTAATTAAAGTTCTAAAAAAAAAAAAGGGGAAATGGGTGGTTTAAATTTTTTTTTGGTTTAATTTTTTTTTCCTAGGGTGCCAGTTTAAAAAACCAAAATTGGGGGTTTAAGGGTTTTTAGAAGAATTTTTAAAAATTTTGAAAAGGTTCTCCCGGTGAAATTTAAATTTCTAAGGGGGTGGGGTTTGGGGTAAAGGAAAAAAAGGGGGTTTTTAAAGGGGGTTTTAACAAGGGTTTTTTAAATTTATGAAAATTTTTGGGCTAAAAAAGTTGGGTTTGTTTTAAAGGGGTTGGGGCCTGATGGACTTAATTTTAGGGGGGTTTTGTTTAAAGGGGGGTTGGTTTTCTGTTTTGGGGGCTGAATCTTTTTTTAGGGTCTCAAGTTAAGGGGGAAATTCCTTTTGGCAAGCCCCCTTTAATAGGGGAACTTTAAAATTTAAAAAAATTTTTCGATTTTGTTTTAGAAGAAAAATTTTTTTAAACTTGGCCCTGAAAATTTTTTCAAAAAAAGGGTATCAAAAGACTTTTTAATTTGGGAAATTTTTTTTTTAACAAAGAAAAATTTAAAACCAAAATTTCCCCTTTTTTTAAATTATTTTAGTTTTTTATTTGTATTTTATATTAAAACATTTTTACTTTTATTTGTTTTGTAGTTTTCATAAAGTAATATACCTTGCATTTCCTAATATTTTCTTTTGAACTTTGTTTTGCACTTTTTGTATTTAGACTTAGTTGTTAAATTTTCTTCAATAGTGATGATATTATCTTTTTTCCCCATCCTAGTTTGCTTGAGGATAATGAAGAATCTGAAATAAAAAAAAAAAGTGTACTATATGTTATCCATTTTTTCCACTGGATAATTAAGTTTTTATTTTCCTCCAGGCAGTGCAACATGTTACATCGTTGGCGTATAATTATTAGTAAGTACATATAAATTTTAGTAAGACATTTTAGAAAGGATCGATTGAAATAGGATGACCTGGGTGGTATATAAATCTGCAGGTGAGGTAGGGGTCATCCTAGGAAAGTGTAGAGGGATGGGGTAAAGGTTTTGTGTGAGAGCATGTTAGATAGGAATGAGTAGAGGCAAATGTTTTTTTGGGACTTGAAGAGCTGTTGGAGTGTGAGCAAGTTAAGATTTCGTTAAAGGATTCAGGGGAACCAGTTGGCCCGACTTGAGTTCTGGAGGTGGGATGTGCAGTGCCTGCAACCTAAAGGAGGGGTGTGGATATTTGCTGTTTGGAGGGACATCTGAACTCTTATCTATGCGCCTCTCATAAGACTGTGTGAATGATGGTGTAAGGGTTTCTTTTTTGGTTCACCCTACTTCAGTAGGGTGACAGTTCTAAAATCACAATATCGTGTTACAATGTTCTGTAGAAGAAAGTTTATTTTGTAAATATTTCTCTGCAGTGAAATACATTTTCTAAATGGTGATATGCTAAGGAAAACAAGTTTTAAAGTTGTAAATGTTTTGATACAATGATGAAAATTTAATGACTAAAACATGCCTCTGGTTTGTAAATGTTGATCCTGCATGGTACTGAATTTTATTGTGTGATTTTGTTTAAATGATGTTTTCCTGTTCTTGATCAGTACATATTTTCAGGTTGTCTACACTAGTTAAGGGAGAATTCCATAACTGAGCAGTTCCTTCAAGTAGGTAACTAAGAATTTATATTTTTCAGTTATTTGAATTCTGTAGAACTGTAAGTCTTCAACTCTGGCTCAATCTGCATTTGGTATCAAAAATAGGAATCACCAGACTAATGGTATTTGTTTTTCTATAAAGAAAGAATTATCCCCAAATGTAGACTATTTTCTTCATATTTTACTGATCATTGTAACTATAGTATTAGCATTGGCCATCCAACGAAATATTGCAGATCTATCGCCGAATGCACAGTCTGTGGTGCCGATGACCATTCTAATACATCTTGCAATCGACCTCCCTCTTTCCATAATTGTCATGAGGCTCACCCTTCGTACTCTCGCCGTTGTCAAGTCTACTTAAACGAGCGGGAAATCCGTTACCTAAAAGAGGCAAAAGGTCTTCCTTATGCCATGGCAGTTTCTCATCTCTGCCTCCAACGGAGACTACCTCGTGTTTCTTATTCCCGTGTTTCAAAACTTCCCCCCACTTCTGGGATCCCATCTGCAACCACCTCTGTGGTTACCTCTCCCATAGTCACTCCTGTATCTAATTCTTTTGCTGTCCTAGGCTCAGAAGTCCCTACTTCAACGCCTCAGTCTGATCTCGCTTCTTCGTGTTCTCTCTCACAAGCCTCGGTACTGACGAGATCTCATATGACACCTCCCAATCATCCCTCTACTTCTCAAAAGTCATAAAAAGGTCCGTTAACACCTCCTACCCATATTCCACCTCCTCATTTTACCTTCCATGTCTCTGTACCTGGTTCTCCCCCTCTCTCTGGCTCTGTTACAAGTGTAGAGGTTTACCCTCCTCCTCTTACTGTACCTTCCTCCCCTGTTCCCTCCCAAGTTTCTGCCTCTTCTGTCCTCTTCCACGCTTCTCCAGTTCCCTCCACCCTTTCGTGCCCCCCGCCCCGTACCTTGGTACAGTCTAATACAGTTCCAATCTTTACTCATCCTTCCCCTACCATTTCCAATATTGTCTCCCATACGACGTCTCTGAATTCCGAAACACTTGAAGCAATCTCTGAATATATTGCAGAGACCAAACCATGAATGGACACTGATCCCCCCTCCGTTCCTTCTCTCTCCTCTCTGCTCCATCTGCGCAACTCCTTTCTTCACAGCACACCGTTCCTTCGCTGCTTGAACATTTTCCACTGCCTCCGCATGTGGACTTTTCTAACCCCTCCAGTCCGTCGGAACCCTTACCTGCGGATTTCAGTTATCTTTATCATTGCCAATCATGGCCTATTTACAGTGGAATATACGCGGCCTCAGGGTAATCGGGGTGAGCTTCAGATATAACTCTCCCAGTTTTCCCCTGTTAGTGTTTGCTTACTGGTACCAAAATTACACTCTGCTGTTATCTCTCCCATCTCAGGCTATAATTTATTGTATTCTTCAGATGCTTTTCCTGATGGGACCTTTAATGAAAGTGCCCTTCTTCTACGCACTGATATTCCGTACCATCAGCTATTTGTTCGTACCTCGCTGTGTTACACAGCAGCCCGTATCCACTTGCATAGGTGGTATACGCTCTGTTCTTCATATCTCTCTCCTCGGGCATTATCCATTCTGGATATTGCCTTTCTTGTTTCGTCATTACCGCCACCGATTCTGTTACTTGGCGATTTTAATGCCCACCACTTCCTCTGGGGGATCTCACTGTGATTCCCGTGGCATTCAGTTAGAGGCTTTTCTTGCCACCCACCCCCTCCATGTTTTAAATACGGGTACTCGCACCCATTTGATCTCGGACTCACACACTCTCTTGCATCGATCTTTTCAGTTGCTCTTTTCCTTTGCCACATTAGACTTCGCTTGGTTGTTCTCCCGGACTTACATGACAGCGATCATTTTCCCAATCATTCTTACTTCCCCTTATATTCACCACCTTTTTCGCATCTCACGCTGGCATTTTTATCAGGAAAAGGAAAACCCTTACTCAAAACCTAACTGTTTTTTTTTGTGGGTTCCTTCTTCTTTTTCCATCGATGAGCCCTTTTTAAACCCCTTTTTCTTTTCCGTTTTTTTTTTTAAACCCCACTTCTAAAAAGTTAAAACCCCAAACTTTGGGAAAGGGATTCTCAGAAATGCGTTTTCCTTGGTGGGGTTTCCCGCTTGTGGTCATGCAGTTCGTTTGAAAAAACGCTTTCAAAGGGGGCCCCGGGACCGGTACAATTTGAAAACCCCGGGGAAAAATTTTTGTTTTTAAACAAAAAAAGAGTGCGATCGCTCGGGCCCTGTCTTCCCTGGCGCTAAAAAACACTTTTCTGGCGAGAATTTTTTCCCCCACCTTTACCCCTGCTTCCTCTTTGAGTGCAGTCTGGAAAAAAATAAAAACGAAAAAATGGGGGTTTAAATTTTCTTTTTGAACCCCGGGTCCTTTTTTTGCCGGGGTTGCCGGGTTTTTTGTTTTATTTTTTTGGGAAACCCATAGTTTTTGCCAAAAGAAATTGGGGAATTTTATCTGGTCCGGTTTTTTTTAGGGACTCCAAACCCTGCCCCCCCTTTTTTTTTCCTGAAAGTTCGCCAAAAAGGGGGTTTGCACCCTTGGGACTTTTTTTTCTCTCAGGGGAAGAAAAGTTATTAAAGTGCCTTTTTTAAATTTCAAGAATTTGGGGGGCCAACACTATCTGCTTTTCCGATCATTGGCAGCCCGGGGGCCCCCCGAATTTTTATATTGTTGCTACAACATTTTCAAACTTTTAGCCCTTGCAGTCCCATTATGCCCCTTTTAAAAATTTAAATTTTGGTCCAAAAAGGGCTCTTCCAAGCTTTTTGGTAAATCTGCCATTGTTTTCCCTTTCCGCAAAAAAAAAAAAAAAAACCAAAAAAAACGGGACATGGGGGTAAAACCTCCCACTTTGTCCCATTGCTCTTTCCAGTTTCAGTTTGCAAAGTGATGGAAACGCCTGGGGGAAAAAAGCGTTTTGTGTGGGTTATTTTGAGAAAACCCCAAACCGTCTGTCCACTTTGGGCCCCAAAATGGTTTTTTGTTTAAAGGGAAGTTCCACCCAAAAGCCCCCTTTCTATGCTTGGAACGTTTTTGTTTCGTAATGCCTTTAGAATTTAAACCCCTCAGTTTTTGCCCCCCTATTTTTTTTACCTTTAGAAAAAGGGGTTTTTATCTTTGAATTAAATTTGGGCAAAACCCGGTTATTTAACCCTTTTTAGGGTTTCCCAAGGGCCGAATTTTGAAAGTGGGGGCTCCAGGGTCCAAAAAAAATTTTTTAAAAAAAAAAAAAAAAAAAAAAAAATATTTTTTCTTAAAAAAATTTTTAAAAGAATATTTTTTTGTGAAGGTTTTAAAAAAAAAAAAAAAAAAAAAAACCCGATCATTTTCTTTCCCAGTTACAGTTCCGGGGGGGTAAGTTTTTTCAATTAAAGATGTGGGGGGGCGGCCCAAATTTGACGAAAATTCCCCATAGCTCAAATTTTTTTTTTTTGTTGTTTTAGTTTTTTTTTTTCTTTCTTTTCCAATTTTTTTTCTATTCCCCTAACATTTGGGGGGCCGGGGAGGGCCAAAATTTTTTATTAATTTTTTATATATAAAATAAAACCCCTGTATTTTAACACAAATAAACCCCACTTAAAATTTTATTTAATTTACCCCTGTTGTTTATTTCAATTTAAAAAAGCACCAAAAATTGTTTTAAAAACTTTAAAGTTTTTTAAATATATTTTTCATTTTAAAATTTATGGAATGGGGTTTTTTTAAAATGTGGAGGGTTGTGGGGGGAAAATCCTTGAAACCAAACCCCCATTTCAAAAGAGGACCTTTTCTTCCCACAAATAAAACCCGGGGGTGTCCCTTTTCGTTTTTTGATTTCCGTGTTTTGTTTGTGCACAAGGGCCCAAAGCTTCCCCTTTGAGCAAATTTCTTCTTAGTTTTAAAGGGGGCTGTATTATTTAAATGATCCCTTTTCTCCTCCAAAAGCTTGGGGTTTTTATCCTGAGGAATTCGGGACCATGTTGTTTTTGCAGGTTTTTTGTTTCCGGGGACTTCATTATGAGTTGTCCCGACAAAAAGCCCAAAAAAAATTCCTCCTTTCCGTGGTCTGTTGCCGTTTTATTTTTTTTTTTTATATGCATTGAGCATTGAAATGCCATGAGTGGAAAAAGTTTCATGTCCCACTTGTAACTCTTAAAAAGCAACAAAACCAATCTGCATTCACACTTTCAACCAAGCGATGTTTTGTGTATAATCAATCGTGACATGGTTTTCGAATAGTTCATTAGTCAATCGATCAACTTTCCACTG